ATTTTTTCATCATGCATGCTCATTTTTTAGCGACTCTTTGAGATTCTATTTAATACCTATAATATATATTTACACACACACATACACACACACACACACACACATATATATATATATATATACATACATTTATAACATAAATATCGGCTTAAAAATAAAACCATTCTTTAGAAATATATATATATATATATATATATATATATATACATATGAAAAAAAACAAAAACAGAAAAACAAACAAAATCTTAAATGCAATTATGCTGTATTAAAAACATAATATAAAGTCAACGTCGAACGTTTCCATCGTCTTTTCATGTTGAATTTTATATGTTCTAATATTAATTATGTTTTATGAATATGTCCTATGATGGTCTAAAATAGACCGCAACGTCCGACGTTGACTTTATATTAACATTAATACAGTATAATTTATTAAGATTTTTGTTTGTTTTTTCTGTATATTTTCTTCATACTGTCCTATCTATATCCATATATTTGCTTACATATATATATATATATATATATATATATATATATATATATATATATATATATATATATAATTATTTATTTAAAATATGATTTCAACGCTACATAAGAGTTCTCATACGTTGGAATCATATTTTTAAATAAATAATTATATTTATGCTCTACTTTTGTATCGAGCACTATTTTTTAAAAATAATAAAAAAATACTAAAGAACTTTGGATTATTTACCTAACGAGTTCTTTCTTATTTTCTATATATTTTACACACACACACACACACACACACACACATATATATATATATATATATATATGTGTGTGTGTATGTGTGTTTCCCAATATATACCCTTTCAGTACACCTATATACACATACGTGGATGTATGTGTGTGTGTGTATATATATATATATATACAGGAAAATATTTTTGTGTATGTAATACTTAAAGCATTCTATGGGTATTGGATACCTTACAAAGCATTACATAAGCATTTTAGCCCTAGCAGCATAATATAAACATTGACCTTTGGTGTGTCGTCGAGAAGGAGATTTCGCTCATGAGGTGAATAAGTTGAAAAGTGTAGACAAGGAATAAGGAAGGTTTATTTACCAAAGCAGAAGTGATACACAGGTATTTTATATTCATCTATTGCTATTTCCATGGTTCAACTTCTCGAGAGCAACTCTCTGCGGCTGCTCGATCTCGCGTTGACTGCTGACCTGAGATGGAACAAATACATTGAGTCAATTGCCTCGTCCACCGCAAGGAAAGTTGGCTCCCTGTGCCGCGCCAGGAAATTTTTCTCCCCGGAATCGATCCTCCAGATCTACAAATCAACAATTCGACCTTGCATGGAGTTTTGCTGCCATATATGGTCTGGTGCCTCTTCTGTTTACCTCGGGGTTCTTGATAGGCTCCAGAGGCGGATATGCAATATAATTGGCCCTGCTCTGGCATCTCGTCTACAGTCACTTTCTCACAGACGCGCCGTCGCCTCTCTCTGTCTTTTCTACAAATACTTTCATGGTAATTGCTCCGAGGAGCTGCATTCGCTGGTTCCCAGACTTCATGAGTTCAAGCGCCCTACGAGTCTGGCATCCTGCTCTCACCCCTTCAATGTCGAAACTCCTAAATGTAGCCGTCTCTTCTACTCTAATAGCCTCATGTCTCGCACCTCTCGCCTGTGGAACTCCCTTCCCTATTCCTGTTTCCCTGAGAGCTATAATCCCCAGCTATTCAAGTGTAATGTCAATCGACATCTCCAGTTGCCTTGATCTATCCACTACCCTTCTCCTCATACCCTCTTCTATCACTCCTATCTGATATCGCTCTATATTTTCTGTAACCCCTTGCGTCCTAGTGGCTTCCCGCCTTGCTTGGGGTGAAATGCTTAAACAAAATGTTCTGACATATTGATTAATAAGAAGGAAGTTCTATTCGGTCTGCTTTTTCTCAAGAATTATTGTTCCTTTAGTAAATGTATTTGCATTGATAAGCCCAGAGAAAGACTACCTTTTCATGGACGAAATGATCATCTGTATGAGGTAAATTGTTTGGATCTCATTAATTGTAATTCACTTATATGCTCTATAATAAAAATTATATCGAGCTCTCTTTTGTGGATCAGTTTTAATATTCTATATTAATAGGATCTATTTGGTTTACTTACCCACGGAATTTTTTTACATATATATATATATATATATATATATATAATATAAATTAATTGATTTAAAATATGTTTTTTTTCGCTACACAGTTCCAACCATGTTTCAAAAATAGAAGCTAAAAACCCCGAATTTAATATATATATATATATATATTTAAGTTATGAAGAACTTAGTAATCCGTATGGGTAATCCCAAGGAGGATGAAAGCTCAATGTAAAATCCAGAGCTAATATTTAAAAGAAAAACAGACCACTTTAAGGTACCACTATAATAATTTATTTCACCAGAGCCCTTTTAAAGGACGCCGGATCATCAGATAGGACTTACAAAAATGAAATGAAACGAAAAATAAAATTAAAATTGATAGGTAGTGTAAGTTTTTGTAATTTAACAGAGAGTGTAAAAAGGATAGTTAAAGAGACATGGTAGAGTATAGGGAGGGATTAATTTCATATCTCTCTCAAATATACTTTATATTGGGGGAGGAGGAGTGACCAGACCTTGACCTATTTAGACGGTTAACTTAACGGAAGTAATATATTGAAATGGGAGGGAAGTAGGGAGAAAAGAAAAAGGAAAAAGGAAAAAGAAAGAAGAGGGAGAGGGAAGTAAAGAGAAAGAGGCTGTAATTGGATTTTATCAATTTATGTAAAGAATAGATTTTAATGCTTGATAGAAATTTAGATGTCTAAAAAAATTAATTTGATGTTTGCTATCAATTTAAATATTTAATTTTTTTAAACAAATAGTTTAGGGATTTAATATAAGTTAAATACTATATTTATTAACACATTTATAGAGAACATATTAAAAAAATATTTTAAATTATAATAGTTTATTTACCCGACCAATCGTACTTTTTTAATATTGTAAAAAATAGTTACGGTAACATCTTTATTAGTTTTATATATTATATATTATAGTTTTATATATATATATATATATATATATATATATATATATATATATATATATATATATATATATATTGTGTATTTAGGCAGCATCTTTTCATTCATGCACGTTTTATTAAATAATATAGACAAGTGTTGTCTATTTATGTAAAAATTTTTCGTAACGTCTGATAAGTTTAATAACATTATCGTTGAACGAAGAAAGAAATTCACAATATTGATCCATATTTTTTTAATGAAACGTGCATGAATATATATATATATATATATATATATATATATATTGTTGATGCATGTTTCATTAAATAATTTAGACAAGTTTTGTCTATTTATTTTATGTAAATTCTTTTCATATCGTCTGATAAGCTTAATAACATTATCATTAAAAGAAGAAAGAAAATCACAATATTGATACATATTTTTTAATTCTATCTGAGCTTTCGGCTTACATAAGCCATTATCAAAGTATACAATATATATACAATATATTAAATAATACACGGACAAAACAATGATGATAGTCTGTTTATGTTTACATGCAAGATTTCCAAGAAACGACAAACTCGTGCATACAGGACGCTGGAAGCGAAATTCGCACCGCAGCTCATGACGTCACACATGACCACGCGAGTGTGAAAACGAGAAGTATTAAGTTATGTGAAGCCGTTGGTATAAACCACTGGCTTCTGTTATAAATCATAGGCATTTAAGAATATTTGTGGAGATTTCATAGTTTATTTTGTTCAAGTTAGGTTTCAACTGTTTTATGTATATAGCTTCAAAATTAATGCATATGCCATGTATATATATATATATATATATATATATATATATATATATATATATATATATATATATATATACGTGGCATATTGTTTTGTGTTGTTTATATTGCAGAGTATGTATTAATTTTTTAGTTATTTTCTCATTATTTTTAAATGATCTTGGTTATTACTATTAATGATATACGGATAGTGTAATCGGCGAGCCGAGTTAAGATTTAGGTCTAGTTTCAATTCATTCACTTTCGCACTAATACCAATTTTTGTTTGTAGTATATTAAACTGGACTGTCTAGTCTTGGATGGTAGACATAAATTCAAAATAATGGCGAAAGCAAGGGGAAATAACTCTATTATATTTTTCAAGAAATGGCAATTCAAAGTTGATATAAAAGAAGAAGCCATGATCACCTACGAAGTGACGAGATATAAAAATAGAAAGGAAAGGGTTATAACTACTAAACAAAGATAGAAAAACTTCTGTCTATTTATTCTATTTTCTTTGCAAATCAAACAAATGGTTGGTCTTCATGTCTGATATATATATATATATATATATATATATATATATATATATATATACCAAATATATTTATATATATACTATATACCAAATGTTCTGCATTTCGAAGGATCGTCTAAAAATTTCAAAAATAATTTACGAGCTCACTTCGAGTCAGTGGGACTTTCTCTCCTTGAATCCAATTCAATAATAATAGCAATGACTAATTTAATCAACTACAGTGTAACCCGGATATAAGAGAGTTGTCGGGACCGGAGAAGAAGTCTCTTATATCCGGGTTTCTCTTATATCCGGGTTTGGTCTATTTTATATACATTAACACAGGCTCTAATTTGGGACCAGAGAAAATCTCTCTTATATCCGGGTCTCTTATATCCGGGTTACACTGTACTACATAAATTTCCTTATTAGTTCAGCACTTTTTGTCTCATCTACCTTAGTTGCTGTTGGGTGATTTTAAATTTTAGGCAACCTCTGTATAAAGAAATTGAACGCCATGGAGTAATCTGTTAAATAGTTTCAACATCCTAGCTTAGTAGAAGTTAATTAAACCCAAGAATGTATGATTGACCCCAAACTTTTGACCTATAGTGTATATATGAATTTTTTTTTCTCACTCTGCAGGTCAGTTTTCAGTCCTCAAAATCAAAAATTTTATCCCTGATGTCCGACTGCCAGGTGTTCATAGAGACAGCTAAATACAAGGTAAACTTTCAAAACTATTTCATTTTGGTTTTATTTTTTGAAAGTACATGATCTATTATTCTGATCGTAATTTCAGATCCTTTTCACACCGTCCCCTAGTCAGATTTAGAGTTTTGGATATTAAAGACATCCATTTCAGAGGAAGTTTTTTTTTTTTTTTTTTTCATTATACATTAGAACCTATGACTGCCTTGTGTCACATCCAAGCTGCCTAAGACGTTCCAATCCACCATTTTTCCTCTGATTGTAGCGGGCCATTTGACAGTTATTCGCTGGTTACAATAAAATAACCCTTTAAAATAGAATTCGAATCCTCTTATTAAAAGAACACATAAAATAATTCCTGTGGCGTAAATGATATAACAAGAATGTATCTAAGAACTTTATTTATTCAATATAAGTGAATAATATTTTCTTAACTTTATTAAAAATAAATTAATTTATATGTCTTTCTTAGTATCACCAACGTTACACATTTTTGAGGAGCATGGAACCACCTTTGTTGTCCCCAGGTTCATCCTGACCCAGGGTGGTAGCATTTGTTAGTGGCCCAGCTATAGGCAAATAGTGAACTCCACAAATAAAAAAAATACTATGAAAGTATAAAACTACATTCGTATAGCAAAAGTACCAGCAATACATTTTTATATAAAAAGGACCAGCAATACATATTTATAGTAAAATGACCAGCAATACATTTTATCTGTAGTTGAAGGCATAAAAATGTATTCAAAATTATTTAGATTTCGGCATTAAATAACAAATGGAGGTGCTGATATGTCGCTGAACAAAATCCCCCCAAAAAAAAAAAAAACACTGATTTTCAATTAAACATCTTTCCTCTTCGACTGTTGGTGGGAAGAATGTTAAATTGGTAAAACTTAAAGGCAGCACCAGTTCTGTTTACCGAGAGTGGACCACTTGGTTACACGCATTCGTTTTCATGTCCGTAAGAATGAAGTGAGGATCGGCTAAGTATTCGGGACAGTCGGCTCGTTCGACACGTTCCGAGTTCGAGGGTAGATCGAAAATGTGGACGTCCCCTGGGGCCTCCAATCGTTCACTTTACTGGACGGAATTGCGACGATCAAACGTCAGCTATCCTGAAGGGAGCCCCGGTGGGAACCAGCTACTAGACGACACAATATATACATATGAAGTGAATTAAACTGTGGCTACGAAAATAAAATGAAAGGAGATTACTGCCATCAATACGCACCCGAAGAAAGTCGGAAATATATTCCTCAATACATCATAGACATGGAATGAAACTTTATCTCAGAATTAGATTGAAACTTATTGAACGTTTTCTTACTTTTTATAAATATTATACCATTTTATTTAATTACTTTCAGGGAGTTATCGTTGCCGTGAAAAAATTTGCCAGGCCGAATGTTATGTTGACCAAGGATTTGATAAGAGAACTAAACGAGGTAGTATTTTCTATCTACACACATAAATGTGTACATATGCAAATTTTCATACATGCAGGGTTAGATTATGACCTTTTTGGGTCCCTGGGCTAATGAGATTATGGGTGTCCTATCAGACAGAACCACACTCGTCCGCACCTGTCTTGAATATTTTTTACTCGTGATATATTTTAGCGACATTTACATGGCTTGAAGTAAACTTATTCCAAATTCTTTAAATAAACTAGAATAACTATATTTGTTTGTCAATAAAAATATTCTTTAAGAAATAGCATTATTTTACTATTCCAAACTAAATTAGCAAATATTTCAACACAATGGAAGTAAAAAACAACAGATTTTTTTTTATAACCAGAGCTATAACAATAAAACATTCAATATAAGTATGAGTTTATCATTTTTTATATCATTTCAGTTTATGAAATTATTTAGAAGTTTTAATTTTTGAAAATTAAAATCCTTTCTTTGTTTATTACTGTAAGATTTAAACATTCTGAACTAAAATCAAAAATGTTATCAACTTGAAACACAATGGCACAAACTAAAAAATTATTTTCCTTACTTTCCTTTATAGAATTTAAATGTTGTGTTGATGTATGGTAGGTGTGTGCTTGTTCACATGTAAATAGAAGCAACAAAAACTTGGGTTTTCTACTACGAATTGTTTATTCTTTATTTTTATTCCAGAAACTTTAGGAACCCAAAATTCTCAATGTCTCTTGAATATGTCCGTTTCCATTTCCTGGTTCAGAATTAAGTTAGGTTAACTGAAGCTAAGAAAGCTAAAATGGTCGAGCTCAAGTCTGCTTTGTGCTGAGTTGGAATGACCAAATTACTTACTTCATGAGTGAAGCTGCAAAAGACGTCTGAACGCTATGCGTTGGAAAATGAACAGAGAGTTCAGTCGTCAGTCGACCGGGGAAAACAGACGTACACCAGCGGGGACGTCTTCATCGACGTATTGCTACATCTTGGAGCAAGAAGGAGAAAAGAGGATATTTATTTCTGTATAAAAAACAGAAAATGTGGCACAAAGCCGAAATGGGGAAGAGGTCGGTTTTCTGTCTTAACTTTAAACTTAGCTAGCCACAAACGCTGGTCCCATGATACTAACAATATTCCTTACATCAAAACAACTCATTCTTACTTACCTTTCTCCGCCATAATACTTCAATGTGTCCATGAAAATGCTAACTAGTCCCCATATGTACAATTTATCGTCTGTGGAGGGAAGGGAATAAAACAACAATTTAAAAATTTAAAAACTAGCCCCAATGAGTATTTACAACTATTTACAAGAAACTAACCAAGAAGGAGAAAAAGAGGAAGGAAATGTCTGTCTTTTTATAGAATTTAAACAGAGCTACCTAATGGACGAAGCCAGGTGGAATAATTATATTTCCGGTTCCTTTACTCTTAGCATCATGGGAAAATGTATTTCTTTTTCTTTTTTTTTTTTTATTCATTATTAGAAATAATCTTTCTATATTTCTGAGATGAGGTATTGTAATTATTTACATTATTTACATTGTCCGGACTGTTAATCTCATATTTATTGCCATATTCACGACGTTTCGACCGCTATACGGTCCGGCCTTCTTCAGGTGATTGGAATTTTGGAACTGAACACTTTATTTCGTCCACCGAGGTAGATTCTTCTAGTTCCACATGCCATGCCTTTTCCGGGCGTCTCAGTATCAGTTATCTCCCTTTAACCCAACCCTACAAGTTTTTGTTCACCTCAGCTGTAGCCAGATATTGAACTCACAACTCTTTGGGTCAAGTCACTGGATTCAACCAACGCTAAACGTCGTGAATATGGCAGCAAAGATGAGGACAACAGTCCGAACAACGTAAATAGTTTAAATAATTACAATATTTCATCTCAGAAATATAGAAAGATATTCCACTTTTTCGAAGTTGTACCTGCGTACAAAATGTTTGACATTTTTTTATGTTGAATATCTTTGTCTTTCTTGATTTTATAATTTGTCACTGGATCCAAATTAATAAACTTAATGTTTCAGTAACTATTTTTTTTTTTACCAATGCTCATATTGCAATTTTGTTTCGATTATTGCTTTTCTCTAGCGCCTCGTATTACTGGTTTCCATATTATATTCATGTCTATACTTGGTCGGCTCAGGAAAATTTTGTGGCCTAGCATATATGGTGATCCCTTAAGTTTTCGTATTTTTTAGTGATGTTCTCTGTTTATTATTTCAACCTCATCCCACAGGTGGCGGTGGTCTGCCTTTTCCTTCCATATGTGGTCAGCTACACCTGATTTTTCTATTTCCTCTATTACCGTTTTACAATGTTATTGCAGTCTTACCTTAGGGGAGCGGCCTGTTTCCCCTTTATATTTCTTAGCACAGCTGCACGGGATGGCGTACACACAGTCCTTAGTCATGTTCTCCTTCATAGAGGGATCTTACTCGGAAGATGTACCTGCCAAGTGTCGAAACACTTTTGAAGGTCGCCCTGATGTTATATCGATTACAGATCTTTTGTATGTTCTCCGATAATCCATTCACATAGAGTAGGCAGACCGAATCTGTTTTCTGAGTGTTGTTATCCTCTTGTACCCTTCTATCCCAGTTTGTCGGAGCTGCTGCCATGTATCCAGGGTAGTTGTTACGTTGTATGGTACAGCTTATACTGACCATTTCTTGTTCATATGTCTCTGGGTCGCCACTTATGATTTTTGCTTGATGTTGAAAGCAGTGAACAATCCCCTTCTTTACACTGTATGTGTAGTGGGAATTGAAGTTGAGGTATTGTCCGGTGAATGTTGTCTTGCGGTATACGGATGTCTTGAACCCATGCTCTGTTCGAGATATTACTACATAGAGGAATGCGAGTTTGTTGTCGTTTTCTCTTTTCATTGTGAACTGTATCGATGATCTTATTGAGTTTACATAATGCATGGCACGTGGAACTAGAAGAATCTACCCTGGTGGATGAAATAAAAGGTTCAGTTCGAAATTCTAATCACCTGAAGAAGGACGCACCGTACAACGGTCGAAACGTCGTGAATATGGCAATAAAGATGAGGACAACAGTCTCAACAATGTAAATAATGTACTGTACGTCAGTCGGTTATGTGCCATGCGTGATACACGATTAGGCGGTCATGTATCTTTCGATACATAACTGACGAGGCAGATTTTTTTTCCGCGGTAGGTTGCCATTTCTTTCTGCCGTGGACTAATCGCCATCCAAGGCTATAGAACCTGGTCTGTCATGCTATTTACCCATAGCTTAGAAGAAGAGTCATACCTTTCCAAATGGTATTAGCATGTAAGTGAATGCAATGGATTCGACTGGAATTCGAACTCGGCTCTCCGATTCCTCAATCCGAACCGCTATCCATTACTCCAGTGATATACGTACATATCATAAATACTGTAATATGCGTTTATTTGCGGTTTCTAATGTGGTTATTTCGACTTAAGTCATGACTTCTGGAACCAATTAACGACGTAGGGTGAGGTATATATCTGTACTGCCTTTTTTTCTTTTTAATTAATTCTTCGGTTATATAAAGAATAAGTATTTATTAAATTCTGTTTTAAGAAAAAACAAGACAAAGTAAAGAACAACTTCAAAAACAAACAAAAGAAAGATAAAACAAAATACATCTATGGTTATTTTTAACTTTGTATAAGGTTTTCCATCTTACAAATTATTTCATGCATCAGAACAAACAACAAATCAATATTTTTTTAATCTCAACAGGTACGCTGTGCCTATCATCCGAATTTAACACGTTTCATCGGAGCGGCCATTGAACCGGAAGGCGTATTCATATTGAACGAATATTGCAACAAGGGTAGTTTACAGGTAGTTTTTTTTTTTTTTTTAACTATTTTTAATTATATAAATCTCTTTTTAGTTGTGTCTCTTGAAAAAGAATTCCATGAAAATGCATAAAACATCCTATATATTTTTATATGAAATGGAAACCAGCCACTCTCTAAATGCAAAGCTTTAAGAACATGACAAGGTCAAAGCAAGTGAAGGAAAAAAGTGAAAAGTCATGAAAGATTACGAATAAAAGCAGAAAGGAGAGAATAACATTTTTGGAACAAAATTACTGTTGTAACCTAGAAAGGGTTACTGAATAAGAAATAAAGAAAACGTGGGGTTGGAAATGAAATGGTAATCTTTATAACATCAACAAAATACAATACTCGCCAGCGGCGTGAAGTAGGTAAACCACTGCTAGTGGTGGACTACTTAGACAGCATATTACCTCCACTTAAAATAGTGTCCAACGTATTTATGAGGATTGGGACATACCCATTAGTGTTCATAGATACGGTATATAACAGTTACAATAATGGCTATAAAATAATATTGAAAACACTGGAAATAGAAGCAACCTAGAAAGGTTTACTGAATGAGGAATAACCAAAAATACATATTGTGTATTTAGGAAACAATCCTTCTTTTATACAAGTTTCATTAAAGACAACTCACAATGTACTGTGATTAAGCATTTTATTCAATTTTTCTTGTTTCGTATAAGTTTTTTGGGGGACATAAACTGTTCGACTGTTCTATATATACAAGCGCTTTCGGCTATTCTATTAAGTATTATTAAGGATATTTTTAACTGAATGTGTAGATTTTTGTATATGTATCTAGATATCTAGATTGATGGGAATGTTTTTTTTTAAAAACACGAATATATATATATATATATATATATATATATATATATATATATATATATATAAAAGTGAATAAAAAGTCAACACTTAGAGGCGACAGTCTGTTTCATGCTATATGCAATCGTCAGGCCACGTGTGCTTTATATATATATATATATATATATATATATATATATATAGGATGACCCAAAAAACGGGAACTTTTTAACATTCCAATAAAACCAGGAGTGATGGAAGAAAAATATTTTATTCATAGTAATTGAAACCTTAAAACATGCCATTTAAGAAACAATGATGGAATTTTCATTTTTTAAAAATTACGTCCTGTAAATGGCGTTCTCCTGTACGAATGCATTCTTGAAATCTGCAGTTGAGATTTCTCATTGACTGCTGCAACATCTCAGCTGGGATACTATGAATTTCATCTTGAATTCTCTGGCAGATCCAGTCTCTTCAAAGTTATTAATCCAACATTTTATCGCGTTTTTTAATGGAACAGCACCATGATGTCCTAAGTTGTAAAAACGTCGGAACTCCCTCAGTGCATCTGTCAAACTATCACCGTTTTTATAAAACATTTTTATGGCTAACGTACGCTGTTGTCCGTTCCACTGATCCATGGTCACTAAAATGGCGAAATGTTTACTTGCTCAAGGTCACTGTCTCGCAGTGTTGCCACTTGCTCATGTCTGGCAATACGCACTTCAAAAATTCCGTTTTTTTTGGGGTCACCCTGTATATATATATATATATATATATATGGGAGAACCTTTTTATATAACAGAACAATTTAATGAAAATCAAAGACAAAGTGTTATTTTATTTTTTATTTTTGTTTCGTGTAACGCCTTTTTTTCTTTTAGGACTTCATTGAACTAAAATGATGTCTACATTCACAAGCGCACGGAAAAGAAGACGGGGTGCTGAAATTTTAATCTTTTACATTTAATTTTTTTTAAATATGTATTTTTGTATATCGTATGGCCATTTTCATTTAGTTGTTTATTCTTTGTTTTTTGTTTTTTTTTAATCATTTTTGTTATTAAGTATCCTACATTGTGATAATAGAAGATCATCTAAGACAGTTGAAATATTGTAAGAAACTTGATGTAATTTCAACACACTTAAAAAGTTAAGTGTTTTTCTCCTTTCATTCACCCATAGGACATATTCGCCAATGACACTGTAACTATTGATGAAGATTTAAGAATTTCATTCATCAAAGATTTAGTTCAGGTATGTAGCCTTTTAATATATCCATTGCAGTTGTATTTACACTGTCAGCAGAAAATGCGAAAGAAGACATTGAAAAGTTTTATTGCCCATTGGATAACGCCCAGACTTAATGCAAATCGTAGTAAAGTTCAATGGTCCTACGAGACATGAAGCCAACGAAGGGTAGGGATTAGATGGTAAAATATATCGTAAATTCGGACTGGGAACCCGTAATGAACGGAGAGAAAAATGGGTCCAATATTTCACGGCAAACGACTAGGTACTATGCCTGGTTTCAAGAACATGCAATACGGTTTTGAAGATTTAGAAACCCAGGAAGAGAAACGAAGAACCAAAGAACATAACGATAAAATCATGAATTCTGTTTTACGCTGTAAACCATACTCAATTGCCGACTGAGGGAACGGACACCTTCCAGTGATATGTAACCCAAGGGTGATATTACAGAAGTTGCTAAGACAGCATTGAAACAGCAATACGACAGACTCCTGAATGACTCGAATAATGACAGAGTTGAAAGCAGATGAAGAATTAAGAGAAGCTTTTGTATCATCAGCAAACGATATCATCCCAAAGGAAACTAGACACGCCAAAAAGAAACGGACGACAAATGAAAATCTCGATATGATGAAAAGGAAATAACAAACAATGCCAAGGTATAGTACAGATTAAATTAGAAACGAATGCAGGCAAGCAAAAGAGGAGTGCCTCAATGGAAAGTGAGCCAGCATAGAAAGAATGATAATCATTAATACGGCCGATATGCATAAATAAACAAAAGAAATAACAGGACAAAAGTTGTGCTCATCGACAGGATGCAAAAATAAACAAAAGAAATAACAGGACAAAAGTTGTGCTCATCGACAGGATGCATAAATAAGCAAAAGAAATAACAGGACAAAAGTTGTGCTCATCGACAGGATGCATAAATAAACAAAAGAAATAACAGGACAAAAGTTGTGCTCATCGACAGGATGCATAAATAAACAAAAGAAATAACAGGACAAAAGTTGTGCTCATCGACAGGATGCATAAATAAACAAAAGAAATAACAGGACAAAAGTTGTGCTCATCGACAGGATGCATAAATAAACCAAAGAAATAACAGGACAAAAGTTGTGCTCATCGACAGGATGCATAAAATCCAAAAACAAAAAAGGGATGCTGATAATAGAGGATGAAAAAAGACTTCAAAGTTGGAACGGATACATCGAAGAAATATTTTACGACAAAAGGATAAAACATTAAAACCTGAACTTAAATCAGTACTGGCCAAATTAAACAGGCAGAAAACAGCAGGACCAGATAGAATCGAAACAGATGCTGGCAGCCTTAGATGATTTCAACATTGAGAAATTTACAGAAATAATAAATTATATATGACGGTGATATACAAGAAGACCTACCTAAAAAGCCAGATGCAAACGAATGCGAAATCCATCGAACAATCTACCTAATGTGTTACCTAAAACTTATCCGAATTCTGATAAAAAGGGCGCGCAGCAGAATTAGATCTGAAATAGGCCAAGAACAATGCAGTTTTGTGAAAGACACTGGAACAAGGAATGCGATATTTATGCAGAATTACGTATACCTATGTTTTTATAGATTATGCAAAAGCACTTGATAAGGTACGACACAAGATAATTGAAATGTTAAGCAAGCTTGATTTATTTAGGAAAGATATTAGAATAGTTCAGAACTTATACTAGAAGTAAAACACTTGCATACGGATAGAGAATGAATACACACGAAAAAAGAAAGAGGCGTAAGGCTGTGTTTTCTCAGTAGACTTATTCAACCTTTAGAGTCAGGTGATCCTGAGAGAATTAGAACTCCTACCAGGTTGGCAGCCAACTTTCTTAACGATATAAGATTTGAAGCTGACAGTGATGATAATCAACACAGAATGGAAACTACAGGAATTCCTAAGGAATGTAATGAAGGAAAGTGAGGAGAAAGGACAAATCCTCAGTCGTAAGCAGAAAGAATATATGGTTGTCAGAAATATTTGACATTCACGGGGCATATTAAGGGCATTGAGGAAAGCATCGAATAACCTACTTAAGGTGCCTGTGTAAATGATTTGTAGAACAGGGATTAAGAGAGATAGCAGAAAGACAAACCTTATTACAAAGAGCTACAAAGAACAATAAGTTCTGGGGAACCCTGGTCGCACACATCCTGAAGGGACACGACACAAAGAAGAAGAAGAAGAAGAAGCAGCAGCAGCGGAGGAGTAAGAAGAAGAAGAAGAAGAAGAAGAAGAAGCAGCATCAGCGGAGGAGTAAGAAGAAGAAGAAGAAGAAGAAGAAGAAGAAGAAGAAAAAAAAAATTATCCCATCAACTGTTTCTCGCGAGATATTCCATTTATGTTCTGTTTTGGTCCCATTTTTAAAATGATTTTCAGTGGGTAGCACTAATGACAACATATAACGAATTATGATTTACACTCTTAGCCAAATTTGCTGTCTATTCAGAATAGAAATGTAACAGAGATGCTGACAGCCTTAGGTGATTTCAACACTGACAAAATTACAAAAATAATAAAGTTATATATGACAGTGGTGACATACCAGAAGACTTAAGTAGATCAATTTTCATATCGCTATCTAAAAACCTAATGTGTCACATAACAAAACTTATCATCCGAATTCTGATAAAAAGGGCACGTAGCAGAATTAAGGCTGAAATAGGATAAGAACAAAGCGGTTTTGTAAAAGACACTGGAACAAGGAATGCAATATTTATGCTCAGAATGATGTCAGAAAGAGCACTGTATGGAATTAGCTCTACATAATAAAATAATGGCTGCCTACACGTTTTCGAGTATATTTGCTGCTAGAGCAACAAGCCAATCGCTGATTCTGACGCCTGCTCAGCGACCACAGTGTCCACCGGTGGTTTATGCTGCAACTATACCGACCGGGCCTTAATTACAATTAATGGGAGAGAGTGCATCATCTGACGGGATCAACAGTTTGAACAAAGCCAGTACTCAGTCACGATGACTTCTAACTTCTTGCTTGCACAACCATCGACGGTCCCCAACAACTCCGTCTACCAAAAACAGGGATTAGGAGAGATAGCAGAAAGACAAACCTTACTCAGTATCGAAATTATTAAATGTGTAAAAATTAATATAAAAACTATTTTTATATAAAACAGGTAACACTGGATGTTATGAGAGCCTAATTAAAAAAATTACAATGTTACTAACACGGCTTCTTTGAAGAAGAAAATGACAAAAAGAAGCCAAGCGGTATAACATGAATAAAAAATGATGTGTAAGTCATTTGTAAAAAAGGAAGTCTCTAAACTCATAAATTAGATCAGATGGTTTACAAAAATAGCAACATAATGAAGCAAAATATTTCGTGGCAAAGATTTAAAAAATGAGGCTCGACTTTGGTGTAAAAAAAAAAAACAAAATAGAAAAATTTAAATTGCGAACGAGTGTGGTTTGATTGGATAATGATCTTCGAATTTTTAACCAATGCGGACAAAAACGATGGACCCACCCCAAAGAGTTATTTTTTGAACCGGTTTTGATCCACCTGTTCGTTGTGTGAGGGGAAATTTTGACTGTCAGAAAGGATTAGACCACACCCGAGTGGAAAACTGTGTGTGAGCTGGGATGATAAAAGGCTATCGCTGCTCTCACTAGTACTGTTGCTCCTCCTGTTACTGAAGAAGAAGAAGAAGAAGAAGAAGAAGAAGAAGAGGAGGCGGAAGCGGATGTGGAGGAAATGAAGAAGAAACCATAAAAACTGACGAATGTCTTTTTTTTTAAACAGAGATTTATTGCATATAGGAACGTCTTTTCTAAAACCCTAAGATATTAACTCATTCAAATGCCCTTTGTAAACCTGTCAGAGTTTATCGCATATGTGAGAACGCCTGTTTCAAAGATATTTTTCAAACGGACTCAGAAAATCAGTTTCACTTGAGATAGATCAACCTTTCCCACTTCCCTTCGACCTTTGACAATTTTGATTGCGAACATTTCTACCTTCTTTTGTTGCTTAGAAATTGATTATAGGAACTGTTTCTCCAGAAGAAATAAAAATAAGAAAAACATTTGTTTTAAATGAACTGTTGTATTCTAAAAGAAAACAAATTTGTATTTTGAAAAAACTGTTAACCTGCCTGTATTGCATTTTGTACAATTTGTATGTAAAACCTATTTTTTGTCACATTAATAAATGGGCGTAAAAGTCTTCCTGTCATTTCCGTAAGCGCATCTAAAAGTACTTATAGAGAGAAAGAGGGATAAGAGATGGGAAAGCTGCTAGAATATTTTTAAGAACTACAAATGCAAACGTGCACACACTCCAGTCGGTCGTCCAAGATTTCCAACGCCATGGTTGGTCGCTGAAGTGACCGCTTCAATCCAGAGCTAACCTTACCCCCACGTTGTAATTTTTAGATCATAAGGCAGCTAAGATCGAATCATCGTAGGTATTTTTGTGTTGGGCGGGTTCAAGCAGGGCGAAGACGTACAGTGAAAAGAGTAATACTTGAATAAATTGAACGAAAGTAAATACAGGTTTTATAAACATTTCGGTACAATAATTAGTTTATATCAGAGTTCGCATGCAATTAGTTATCAGCCCAGACTGCATCTAAATTGGAACTGATACTATCGTCGACCTGGTACAAATCTGGTTTGCTGTTTTGGTAAAGTTCGGCACAAGGTTGAAGTCGGAGCTTCTCTTCGGCATGCAATCACGTGGCTTCTCTTCTGTCTCGTCTGCGACTCGTCTCTCTCTCTCTCTCTCTGGCGAAATCGTTTCGCGGACTCGCATTTTTGGAGATTGCCAAAAACTGGCAAAGGGGTATAACGAGGTAGGGACAATTCGGTGAATCCTCTCCGTCACAACAACGTTTTCAGTGAGCGTGGGTGGCCTATCCACCCCCTCCTGTCTCGAATCAACTTCGCATCCGTTGTTTAGCAAAAATGAAATTTCCGCTTGCAGCTGTGCAACATCGAACCTCAA